ATAGAGGGTCCTTAAAAATATTCATTGCTTTAAATTGTGAAGTTTACTGGGACACCCTGTAGGTTTTTATCAGATCCTCAATACAGCAGACACAGCTTCAATCATAGGCATGCTGGGTTCAGTTTACAGGACTACAGAGGGGGAGGGGGAGGCTAGTACTACATAGTACATAGGCATGCTGGGTTAGGTTCACAGGACTACAGAGGGGGAGGGGGAGGCTAGGACTACATAGTACAAACGGAGGGGGCCATGACTTCAAACAGAGGGAGCAGAACTACAGATGGGGGATTGGACAAGACTACAGAGGGGTATTAAGCATGACTACAGATGGGTATTGGACAAGATTACAGATGGGTATTGGACAAGATTACAGAGGGGGATTTGACAATATTACAGAGGGGGATTTGACAGGAATACAGAGAGGGATTGGACAGGACAACAGAGGGGGATTTGATAGAACTACAGAGGGGGATTAGACAGGATTACAGAGAGGGATTGGACAGGACAACAGAGGAGGATTTGACAGGACTACAGAGGGGGATTTGACAGGACTACAGAGGGGGACTAGACAGGACTACAGAGGGGGGACTACACAGGACGACAGAGGGGGATTTGACAGGAATACAGAGGGGGACTAGACAGGACTACATAGGGGGACTAGACAGGACTACAGAGAGGGATTGGACAGAACTACAGAGGGGGACTAGACAGGACTACAGAGGGGGACTAGACAGGACTACAGAGAGGGATTGGACAGGACAACAGAGGGGGATTTGACAGGATTACAGAGGGGGACTAGACAGGACTACAGAGGGGGACTAGACAGGACTTCAGAGAGGGGATTAGACTATAGTGCAGAAAACTTTAGAAACTCGTCATTCAGAATTATAGATTCAGCTTATGCTAGACTGTCACCTGTAACATGAATTCTGTATCTTAACGCTCTGTGGGGATGTTCCTCGTATGCGTGTTACCCATAGAGGAGAATAGAGATACTATGTATACATATATACCATAGAGGAGAAGAGACACTTGGTGTAAATATATACCATAGAGGAGAATAGAGATACTTGGTGTAAATATACCATAGAGGAGAAAAGAGATACTTGGTGAAAATATACCATAGAGGAGAATAGAGATACTTGGTGTAATGTTATACCACAGAGGATAAAAAGAAAATAGTTTTAGTTTTTTTGATTAAAAATGATTAACAGCCCTAATTGCCGGCCATTATATTGCAATATTCATGGTGTCCTATAAAGCATGGCAGTTGTATAAATAGTTTTAATAATATTTCCTTTCCTTAATTTGATAATAAAAATGGATTTTAAAGTAAAATGTATTTGAGTATAAGACATTTAAAACTTTTCACCAACTGTCATGATTCGTGGGACATCCTGTAGTTCTTAACTAACATACAGGGTAATAAAAAGGGCCTAAAACTTAAAAAGTACGCCGACTAAATGTTGACAAAGGTTTCCTGTCATCAGTACATTCTTTAAAAAGTAATATTAATGATTTGAAGGTCAAGAAAACGATTGTACATCTACATGAAATCGTAAATGAAAGAAAAAATATTACCCACAAAATCTATTTTAATTCTTCATTAATTTGAACGAGACAAAAAAAGATTTCTTAATTCTTCAAGATATATATTAAATAATAGAATTGAAATTGCATTTTACAAGGATATCCTTTGCTTAAAACATTCTTTATCTGTTCAATTTAACAAGGAGAATTTAAGGAACCTCCTGTGTGATTAAAGACGGGGATCTCATCTATCTTCTCCGAAATATTCAACTTGAGAGGAAACATAAACAAATTGTATTAACCTTTTGCCCTCAACATGAAACATAGAGATCACGTGTCCGTCTTCCTTCAGTCAAACCTTCTCCAGGTTTATTTTAAGTATCCTTACCTTCTCCAGGTTTATTAGAAGTACCTGACCTTCTCATGGTTTATTAGAAGTACCTAACCTTCTCCAGGTTTAATAGAAGTACCTGACCTTCTCCAGGTTTATTAGAAGTACTCGTACCTAACTTTCCTCAGGTTTATCATCAGTATCCAACCTTCTCCAGGTTTATTAGAAGTACTCGTACCTAACCTTCCTCAGATTTATTATCAGTATCAAACCTTCTTCAGGTCCTGTTTATCATCAGTGTCCAACCTTAACCAGGTTCTGTTTATCATCAGTGTCCAACCTTAACCAGGTTCTGTGTATCATAAGTATTCAACCTTCTCAAGGTCTATCATCAATATTAAACCTTCAACAGGTTCTGTTTGTCAGCAGTATCCAACCTTCTCAAAGTTTATATTCGGTATCAAACCTTCTCCCGGTCCTGTTAATCATCAGTATCCAACCCTCTCCAGGTCCTGTTTATCATAAGTATCCGACCTTCCCCAGGTCCTGTTTATCATAAGTATCCAACCTTCTCCAGGTTCTGTTTATCATAAGTATCCAACCTTCTCCAGGTCTATAATCAATATTAAACCTTCACCAGGTCCTGTTTATCATAAGTATCCAACCTTCTCCAGGTCTATAGTCAATATTATTCCTTCTCCAGGTTTATCGTTGGTACCCAACCTTCTTCAGGTTCTAATTGTCATCCATCATCTCCAAGTTTATATTCGGTATCAAACCTTCTCCAGGTTCTGTTTATCATCAGTATCCAACCTTCACCAGGTCCTGTTTATCATCAGTATCCAACCTTCTCCAGGTTCTGTTTGTCATGAGTATCCTACCTTCTCCAGATTTTGTTTATATTTAGTATCCAACCTTCTTCAGGTTCTATTAATATTCAGTATACAACCTTCTTCAGGTCCTGTTAATCATCAGTATCCAACCTTTTCCAGGTTCTGTTTATCAGAAGTATCCAACCTTCTCCAGGTTTATCATCAGTATCCAACCTTCTCCGGATCCTGTTTATCATCAGTATCAAACCCTCTCCAAGTTCTGTTTATCATCAGTATCCAACCTTCTCCAGACCTTGTTTTTCATCAGTATTCAACCTTCTCCAGGTTCTGTTTATCATCGGTATCCAACCTTTTCCAGGTTTATTATTAGAATTCAACCTTTTCCCGGTTCATCATCAGTACCCGACCTTCTCCAGGTCGTGTTTGTCTTCAGTATCCAACCTTCTCTGGGTTTTGTTTATCTACAGTATCCAACCTTCTCCCGGTTATGTCAATCATCAGTATCCAACCTTCTTAAGGTCCTGTTTATCATTAGTTGCACAACTTCTTTCGGTTTCATGTATCATCAGTATCTAACCTTATCAAGTCCTGCTAATTATCAGTATCAAACCTTCACCAGGTTCTGTTAATTATCAGTACCCAACCTTCTCTAGATCCTGTAAAAGTTTGGTCGAGGTGTAAGTATCTCAGACAAGTACTGCTTCACGGATTTAATTCAGTTCTTTAGGTTCCCTGATATTGTGAATTCTTTAGGTTCCCTGATATTGTAAATTCTTTAGGTTCCTTGATATTGTAAATTCTTTAGGTTGTCTGATATTGTAAATTCTTTAGGTTCCTTGATATTGTATATTCTTTAGGTTCCTTGATATTGTAAAATCTTTAGGTTCCTGATATTGTAAATTCTTTAGGTTGTCTGATATTGTAAATTCTTTAGGTTCCCTGATATTGTAAATTCTTTAGGTTCCTTGATATTGTAAATTCTTTAGGTTCCCTGATATTGAAAATTCTTTAGAATCCCTGATATTGTAAATACTTTAGGTTGTCTGATATTGTAAATTCTTTAGGTTTTCTGATATTGTAAATTATTTAGGATCCCTGATATTATAAATTCTTTAGGTTCCCTGATATTGAAAATTCTTTAGAATCCCTGATATTGTAAATACCTTAGGTTGTCTGATATTGTAAATTCTTTAGGTTCTCTGATATTGTAAATTATTTAGAATCCCTGATATCATAAATTCTTTAGGTTCCCTGATATTGTAAATTCTTTAGGTTCCCTGATATTGTAAATTTTTTAGGTTCCCTGATATTGTAAATTCTTTAGGTTTCCTGATATTGTAAATTCTTTAGATTCCCTGATATTGTAAATTCTTTAGGTTGTCTGATATTGTAAATTCTTTAGGTTCTCTGATATTGTAAATTATTTAGGATCCCTGATATTATGATATTGTAAATTCTTTAGGTTCCCTGATATTGTAAATTCTTTAGGTTCCCTGATATTGTGAATTCTTTAGGTTCCCTGATATTGTGAACTCTTTAGGTTCCCTGATATTGTAAATTCTTTAGGTTCTCTGATATTGTAAATTATTTAGGATCCCTGATATTATAAATTCTTTAGGTTCCCTGATACTGAAAATTCTTTAGAATCCCTGATATTGTAAATACTTTAGGTTCCCTGATATTGTAAATACTTTAGGTTCCTTGATATTGTGAATTCTTTAGGTTCCCTGATATTGTGAATTCTTTAGGCTCCCTGATAATGTGAATTCTTTTTTTGTCTCAAATCATTCGAAATTTTATATATTCACAACAAATTGTAACCCATGGGCGCGTATTAAATGGTTTATTAGTATCCCATGTAAAAGAATAATTTATGGTAGTCATTTTCAATGCACTTTATCTTCTATCTATCTATCTATCTATATATAAATTTGGCTTGTCTGTCTGTTTGTCTGTCTGTTTTTATCCAATAAACGTCAAAACGGCTGAAGCGATCGGGCCCAAATTTTTTGTGGGACATCACATGACCACAGGGAAGGTTTATGAATGATCAAAATTTCAAATATTTGTCTCCATCAAAATTCGATCGTCATTAAATTTTTTAAAATTTTGAAAATCCGCGAAATTTTTTGTGAAAATCCGCGAATTATTTTTGTTTTGTTTTACGATGTACAGAAAGAGAAGTTCACAATTTAAATAGAAGATGGGTGCGAAGCGCCCTAAAAGCCTAGAAAGAAGGGCGCGAAGCGCCTTGAATTTCTAGTAGTGTATATTCCGATAATAATTTTTAAATCATAATTAAAAAATCAATTTTCAATATTTATTCTTTTAAAAATATCACATTTGTTGAATACATATATTTTCAATATTCAGGGTCTGTTTACGAATTTAAGCAAGTCTTGTCAAATTCTTAAAATTGTAATTGCAGTCGCGACCCTCTCACGAAGATATCTGCGTCAGAATTTGAACCAATTTTGACAATATTCTTTACTTCGGAAATACCCCGATCACAGTTGACAATCTTGAAGACAAGGATCGCTTAAAATCACTTTAATAATTATCCTACACTTGATAAACTAGGTAAATCAAAACAAATCAAAGTATATATATAAGCAATAAGCCTGACTTGAAATATATAAAGGCGCGGTATATATTTCATAATTTGATTTGTAATTCAACACAGAACTGATTTTACATACATATCCCAGACCTATAAGGAACATTGGGTTGGCATCGATTAGAATAAATAATTCAGACTTCCGTTGTGTATCATTGGGCCGGGGGGGGGGGGTTTCTTTATGAAATATTACTTATAAAAGTCTAAAATCTACTTTAAAGGGATAAAAAGGATTCTTGTTCGGATTAAAACTATTTTAACTGTTCTATTACGAGTCTTTTTTGTAAAGCTCGAGCATGTATATATTATTACATTTTATTGGTTTTAACAGTATAAAAGACAAGAGTTAATATCATTTTTAAAAGCATCTTATTGAGCGGCTTTGGATATATTCATTTTTAGTCTTTTGACGTCTTTATCACTATTTTAAAGGCTTTTTATTCTATATTTAATTGTCGTCGTTGACCTTCCTATACTCACATGGTCGGCCTCTGTAATAAAACTAACGTCCAGGCGAAGTCATTGACCACCCTGTTCAGAAAGCCGAGGTTTACAGTTATAATTACAAAAACCAATGTCTTTAAAAGTATATCGGCCTTTTTGAATTAAGTCAACGTCTTTGAGGCCATGAAACACATTCCTAGAAAGGCGATGGATTCTGTATAGATTGATCAGCGACCTCCTTCTACATAGGGAATCGATGTTTACCATTTTATTGTCCTTAAAGGGTATCGGCCTCTTTAATGAAGGTTACGTCATTGACCTCCCTAAATAAAGGGCCAGCCTCTTATGTATCTATGCTGTCATTGGCCTCCCTGATTAGAGGGTGCCGGCCTCTATACATGAGTTTACGTCCTCCACCACCCTCCCCATGATGTCCCTCATGTCTAGGTTTTTATTAGGAACATAAATACTATCCAGAAACTCCCCAGTTTTAACCACCGTGAATATCTGAAAAAAATCAAAATTCAAAAGTTGAAAATTTGAAAATAACGAAACTTTAAAGAATGCAATTATTGCACTTATTATTTTCCCAATTGATTTAATAAACTTAATTGATCTACTCATCCAATTGATTTAATAAACCTACTTGATCTACTCTCCCAATTGATACAATAAACCTACTTGATCAAATCTCCCAATTGATACAATAAACCTACTTGATCTACTCTCCCAATTGATACAATAAACCTACTTGATCAAATCTCCCAATTAATACAATAAACCTACTTGATCAAATCTCCCAATTGATGTAATAAACCTACTTGATCTACTCTCCAAATTGATACAATAAACCTACTTGATCAAATCTCCCAATTGATACAATAAACCTACTTGATCAAATCTCCCAATTGATTTAATAAACAAGCTTGATCTACTCTCCCAATTGATACAATAAACCTACTTGATCAAATCTCCAAATTGATACAATAAACCTACTTGATCAAATCTCCCGATTGATTTAATAAACCTACTTGATTAAATCTCCCAATTGATTTAATAAACCTACTTGATCAACTCTCCCAATTGATTTAATAAACCTACTTGATCAAATCTCCCAATTGATTTAATAAACCTACCTGATCTACTCTCCCAATTAATACAATAAACCTACTTGATCAAATCTCCCAATTGATACAATAAACCTACTTGATTAAATCTCCCAATTGATTTAATAAACCTACTTGATCAAATCTCCCAATTGATTTAATAAACCTACTTGATCAACTCTCCCAATTGATTTATCTGTAAGATGAGGTTGAATGAGGTTGATGAGAAGATCTTCAAGTTCGCCAAGTTGCTTAATTACGAATATTCTGTCATAAGTATGATCAACCTAGAAAAGTAAGTATAGTTAGGGATCACTGATAATTTGATCAAAAATTAATCATGATCCTTACACCCCCATGATCAACCCCCAAAAATGATCGTTTATCGTTTATCATTCGTCATTTGTCTTTCATCATTTGTCATTCATTATTCATTATTCATCATTCGATATTCGTCATTCGTCATTCGTCATTCGTCATTCGTCATTCGTCATTCGTCATTCGTCATTCGTCATTCGTCATTCGTCATTCGTCATTCGTCATTCGTCATTCGTCATTCGTCATTCGTCATTCGTCATTTGTCATTTGTCATTTGTCATTTGTCATTTGTCATTTGTCATTTGTCATTTGTCATTTGTCATTTGTCATTCGTCATTCGTCATTCGTCATTCGTCATTCGTCATTCGTCATTCGTCATTCGTCATTCGTCATTCGTCATTCGTAATTTGTCATTTGTCATTCGTCATTCATATTTCTTCATTCGTCATTTAGCATTAATAATTCATCATTCACCATTCATCATTCATCAATCACTTGTTTTTGTTTACATTAGAATTTCAAATATTGTCAATATGATCAAAGGCAAACTATAATCTTTAATTTTTGAAAATAAAACAAATTAAACAAATTAGGTCAATTAAAGTAAAGCAGAAAATGTCTTTCTTTTCATAAAACATAATTGCAATCAATTCTATCTAAGATCAGCTGTAAAGTTTACTGTACAAGCTATCAATACCAATAATACATCCGGTTACATTAATTAATTAAATTACTTGATAATACACTCATAATTAATTAATTGGAATTAAATTAAATTTGTTCAATTACTTTTTCTTCAACAGTTTACTATAGGCCTGGGAAGTTGCAATAAGTCCAAAACTGTTGCATTGCTTTATTAATTTTTAAATAAATTTTTATATTTTCACAAAATATATTTTGTTGTTTTATTACTTTTTCCATTATTGCAAATGCATTTGATAAGTGTTCATATATTATTTTTCTTTAAGATTTATATATTTCTTCAAATTGACATCTCATAGGTCTTACTATTGTGTATGCTTTTCTACTTATTTAAATAGATAAGATAATTTAAAAGTTGCTTGAATCTTGTTAAACAATAAAACTATCAATATTTTTTTTTTGATAAAAAATTGCATTATTTGTTTATTTTCCAATTTTCGAAAAAGAGTTGTCAAACTGTAACCGATGTGAGCTAATAGCTCAGAATAGGGATAGTTCCATTGATGTAACCCCCTCAGTTCTCATATAAACCCGGAGCTAAACTCAGATTGGATAGTTCCATTGATGTAACCCCCTTCAGTCCTCATACGGACCCAGAGCTAAGCTCGGATTGCAAGTATTCCGGCCTATAAACCGGACACTTATTAGCTCTTTTGTATATAGCTATAGGTCGGACAGAAAGTGGGGCGGATAATAAGTTGCCAACGTGGAGAAATATTTGTCGTTAGAAAATGCCAACTCAGAAAACATGCTTTGAACTCATGTTTGAAAGCATGGAAAACCGAAGCCACCCTTGCCCCCGATCCTGGTTTAAATTCAAGCCAATAGGCATGAACCACAGCTTAGAAGGAGCAAATAGAATTAGCCTGGGCTAAAAGCGAAACAGAGTCAGTATTCACAGAGAGTCTGAAGACGGAAGATTAACTTGTCGTATGATGTGAACGAAAGGCGGAGAGTCCATCAGAGAGCTCCGGCTTTCCGTGATTCGTAGTATCGTTTTCATTTGTGCATTTTTTACTTGTAAATACATTTTTCCCTATACTCTGTAGATTTACTCACATCAGTTTTAAGTCTTTAGATTTCCTTTACTTCATACCACTTTTAACTGGTAACAAACATTTGGACTATACTGACTTCTAGCTGGACTGACCGGCGTTGCCCAGGATACTCATAGTTAGTTCTGCCGTACCCGCGCTTGGTAGTAAAATACGATTTTAGCAATTTTTCCATAATTTAGTGGACACACTCAAATTAGAATCTTAAACCCGAACTCAGAACGTTCCCATGGTGTTCCCGATTTTCCCAATCAAAAATGTTTGAGTCAAATCGGGTTTTTAAGCTATGATCAGACATACAAACAGACAAATAGAGATTACAGATTTTAGACTGTCCATCTTTTTTTCCACCACCCCCCTCCCCCCTCCCTAAATAGTTTGCTGTAGCTTTTATTCTTAAAATATTATTGTTAGGAAATTAATTTAGTTTAGCGATGATTTACCGACATTCATATTTAGTAAAAAATTTTAATATTTTTATTGAACAATAAAATATTAAATTTGATCAGGAATTTGAAAAGATTGAATAGAAGTAGAATTGTGCACTTTGTAACAAGTCATTGAATTCAATAGATTTAATTTCAATTGAGCCAAAAGCTTTTCTGAATAATTCTGTGATTTATTCATTTAATTTTGCTAATCTATGGGAAAGATTTTAATACAATAATTGACAAAATTTTGTTAAATAGAGATTTTCAGGGTTACCCACAAAAGATGAGATTGACTATATGGAATTTATTCATTTGTCAAAAGAAATTCTGGACCTACTTAAAGTCTCATCCTTTTTGGGTAACCCTGTAGGTTCGGAGAAACCTGATACCTGGAAAAAACTGACTAGTGTCATAGCTACCATCCGGAGTTTTCTCTGGATCTGAACCAACCCGTCCTTCTCCGGGTCTGAGAACTTCTCCCCTCTCTGGAGCATTCCGATCTTGACGGAGATCTTGATTATATTCCGAACCGTCTTCTTAGATTCATCTTTGTTCCCAGTCTAAAAAAAAGATTATGAAAAAGTTGTTTTAAAAGGACTGTGAGCGTAATTTCTAGTGACCCTTTATACAAAGGGGAATGCCCAACTTACAACAGTACCCTTGAAACCTTTGAGTGATCACTGATCATCTAGGATGGAGAACTCCGTGTTTTTGATCTCTAAAATGCTGTTCAAATTGCCGATTGCAATTATGAATTAGGGATATACTACTACAGTAGGTATATAGTGGGATATAATGCTTAAGTAGGGATGCAATTATAAAGTAGGGATATAATGCTACAAGGGATATAATTCTAAAGACGGGATATAATGCTGAAGTAGGGATATAATGTTAAAGTAGGGATATAATGCTAAAGAGTAGGGATATAATGCTAAAGTAGGGATGCAATGATGAAGTAATGATATAATGCGAAAGTAGGGCTATAATGCAAAAGTAGGGATATAATGGTAAAGAGTAGGGATATAATGCTAAAGTAGGGAAGCAGTAATGAAGTAATGATATAATGCTAAAGTAGGGATAATATGCTAAAGTAGGGATATAATGCTAAGTTAAGAATATAATGATGAAGAAGGGATATAATGCTAACACTGGGGTTATAATACAGGTAGGGATTTAATGCCAAGAAAATATGATGTAGCAACAACTGAAGATATAATTTACAAGTTGTTGACACTTTATTGTGAGATCTGCAATATTAGGCAATTTAAACTTTCATAATTAATGTTTTTGTCCTTCTTCAATCTACATTACTGCAAGAAAACAGAACTCAAAACATAATAACGGTATTTAAAAAACATCAAAATAAATTTCTGTACATTATCAGCGAAAAAACATAAGCGTTTTAAAATTAATTTTACATTAAAATTAAATATTTTAGGTATTTTAGACGCATTATGAAGTAATCAGCACTATGTTGAACAATAATGTTAACCCTTAAAACTACAAAAATTCTAATCCAAATAATAATTTTAAGATTTGGTTAAAGGGATTGTGAGCGGAATTTACCAAATGGCCCTCCATGCCCAGGTTATAATGCAAGGAAAGTTAATTGCAGTCGTGTATACTCTGCGTGCATATTGAAACCAGTTCTCTTTGGGCGGAATTTGTAAACAAGAATAGATGAATCAGAGCTCGTTTGGTATCCGAGGAGGATAAATCTATATATAAATTTGGCTTGTCTGTTTGTCTGTCTGTTTGTTTGTATAAACGTCAAAACCGCTGAACCGATCGGGCCCACATTTTTTGTGGGACATCACGTGACCACAGGGAAGGATTATGAATGTTTTAAAGGTTTTTAATTTTGTAAAAAAAAATTAAATTCTTAAAAATTTTCAAATTTTTTTTTTAAATCCGCAAAATTTTTTTCTTCTTTGTTTTAAAATGTAAACAAAAAGAACATGTTCACAATATAAATAGAAGATGGGCTCAAAGCGCCCTAAAAGCCTAGTACATTAAATTTTGGTAATTTTGATAATACACATTTTCCTATAACCAGAATATTTCATTGATTTTTTTATGTGAAACGTGGATCCCATGGCAGGCTTCGACATCCGTCTTGTGTTTACATTACAGCCCAGAGACAGTACACTGTAGTACAAAAGATATACAACGGCGCCCTTAAGAGCTTTGTCTGATCCAATTTAAATTTAAATCCCTGTGTTTTTTAACGGTTTATTTCCATTTGTGGGTTTTCTGTAAAAGTGACCTATGCATTTCTTACCAAAGCCTGGAGAAATTATCAGAATTAAACACTTTACGAGTCATAATAATGACGTAACCTTCCACATTTGTTATCAGATGAAGGCTTCAAGGGTAGAATGTTGCTGAAATCCTGGAAATTATGTAAACAAAATCCGTTGTTTATGTTAGAACTCAGTTCAAGTGTGTTGGGTCCAGAACATTAAGAAAATAAATATTAAATGCAAATACAACCTCTAGGGACAGTAGAAGATATTTCAAGTGACCCTCCAGTTAGAAAAATAGCAGCATGTCTGATTCAAAATGGTACAGTCCAAGTTTTAAAGGGTACCCGGATTCTATTAACCGGACATTACACTCTGTAATGGAACCGTGTTGCTTTGAATTACGTCCTATACTCCCTTTAAGAGCAAAAATATTATTTAAAAACCCATTTTTGTTTCCGCACAAAAATTGTAAACACAAAAGAAAAAAAAAGTTTAATAAAAAGTTTTAAGCTATCCCATACGCCATTTTTCGTTAATTCAATTATTATCAAATTTCAATTAATTAGAGAACTTCAAAATTGTCAAATTAAATATACATCTCGCATATTTTCTAGATATATAGTGAAGAAGACAGACCACATTTTAGAAACCTTATAAAAGTTACACATTTTTTAAAAACACTATTCGTATACTCTTTCCTATATTTTTTTCAAAACCAGAGGAGTTCTTTTTTATTTGGACAACCTGTATTTGTAGTTTTCTTAAGATTTTAATTACAAAAATAATTAAGTTTCTAGAAACGAATGTGTCGTACTTTCCTAAAATAGCTTGACCAATAGTAAAGACATGATTACTCTCACATACAAACTCAAATTTTCTAATCCCTTTATCTTTTGCAACCTGATGGTGCAGAAACCTTTGTTATTTCAAACTATTTCAAAATGAATATATCGGAATATATTAGTTTAAAATATGAAATGTCTACTTAGGTCCCTTTCTATTTATAACGTCCTATACATAAATACGTCATCGGTCCCTTTTATTCATAACGTCCTATACATAAATACGTCATCGGTCCCTTTTTCTTTATAACGTTCTATACATAAGTACGTCATTGATCCCTTTTTCTTTATAACGTTCTATACATAAATACGTCATTGATCCCTTTTTATTTATAACGTTCTATAAATACATATGTTGGCGGTCCCTTTAATGCCCTATACGTAAATAAGTCGACGGCCCGGATAATGTCCTATACTGTCGACGGTCCCTTTAACGTTATTTACGTAAATAAGTTAACGGTTTGTTTAATGTCCTATACCGGTCCCTTTAATTCCCAATACGTAAATAAGTAGACGGTCCGTTTAACGTCCATTATCCTTCCAGGCGACATTTTCTAAGATTCAACCAAAAAGTAAAACTTACATAAGTTTTTAGAAGGAGGTAGAGGTTGTCTAGTAGACGAGCACTGGTGTCGTCGATCAGGGACTTCGCAACAGTCCTGTTGGTGAAGAAGGTGTTGGCGAAGCTCTTTTGGACCTCGTAGGCAACCACGCTGGCCTTGAAGTCCGTCATGTCTGGACTACGGGCTGCAGATTCATCAAGATCTGAAGAAAAATATATTTAGTCAGGGGTTTATATTATGAAAAAAATCACCTCCTTAAAAATAATTGTTTTTCCCAATATGTAGAAATATGTCTAAGCTTTTTTATCCTTAAAAAATAATTAAGGGCATAAGAAGTAAAATTAGACCCCCCCCCCTTCCTCAAAAGCTATTGCTTTCCCAAAAAGATTTTTTTTTTAAAGATTTATATCACTGAATCTGAGATGGAAATATATTTTCAAAGTTTCAAAAAAAACCTTTTTTTATAAAGAATCTTTGAAAATTATTCACTCCCTCCCCACCCCCTTGATCTTTTTTTCTTTTAGTAGAATTTCTCTGCGTAGTACAGTATCAAATTATATTTTGATAAATTAATAATTTAATCAATGATGAAAAGAAACAATAAGAATTTAATTATAAAAACATTCTTTAAAAAACCTGTCGACAAAGGAGCAATATAATTTAATACAGAACGTTTCAGATTGGTTTAATTTAATTTTAAAACGTCCAACAAACAGTTTTATAAATAAACTATGGCTAGAGAACCCAGCATTGTTCAGGGTATTCATAGTTTACCCGCACTTGGTCGATTTTACCGGGAAACTAAATTTTGCCATTAAAGTCGATCACTTAAAAGTTTAAAACCAAACTAAGAGTATTCTCCCGAGTTCCCCAATTAAAATTTGAAGCAACGGGCATCAACGGACATCCAAAGAGACAGACACACAGAGATTACTTTTTATGAATGAGATTATAAGGATGAGACTAAAATGTTTAAAACTATTTTAATATAAATTTAGAAATTGGATTTTTGTCGTAAATTTAATCTTTAGTTGCGTATGAAATGCTGGAAAAAAAACAAGTTTATGGCCGTAGAGAACCATAAATAAATGAATGAAAAAAATTTTCAGAAGAAAGGCATTAAAGGTTACTTTTAAGATAAATTCATTTTTTTAAATTTGAAAAAAGGTTCTTTATCCATTTTTCAAAAGAGTTTTTTTGTTAATTGTAAAATTCTTTTAATCTTAGGAATTTTATAATCTTTAGGGATTAAGAATATTTAGGATATCTAGGGATTAAGAATATTTAGGGATTTAGAACATTTAGGGGTTTAGAATATTTAGGTATTAAGAATATTTAGGGATTAAGAATATTTAGAGATTTAGAATAATTAGGGATTTAGAATATTTAGGGATTAAGAATATTTAGGAATTTAGAATCTTTAGGGATTTAGAATATTTAGGGATTTAGAACATTTAGGGGTTTAGAATATTTAGGGATTAAAAATATTTAGGGATTAAGAATATTTAGAGATTTAGAATATTTAGGGATTAAGAATATTTAGGGATTTAGAACATTTATGGGTTTAGAATATTAAGGGATTAAGAATATTTAGGGATTAAGAACATTTAAAGATTTAGAATATTTAGGGATCTACAATATTTAGGGATTAAGAATATTTAGGGATTTAGAATATNCGTCGATGTTCTCTTGAATTTCTTATGCACAAATACGTCTACAGTCCCTTTAATGTCCTATACATAATACATCGACGATTATAACGTCCTATACATAAATACGTCATCGGTCCCTTTCTATTTATAACGTTCTATACATAAATACGTCATGGGTCCCTTTCTATTTATAACGTCCTATACATAAATACGTCATCGGTCCCTTTCTATTTATAACGTCCTATACATAAATACGTCATCGGTCCCTTTTATTCATAACGTCCTATACATAAATACGTCATCGGTCCCTTTTTCTTTATAACGTTCTATACATAAGTACGTCATTGATCCCTTTTTCTTTATAACGTTCTATACATAAATACGTCATTGATCCCTTTTTATTTATAACGTTCTATAAATACATATGTTGGCGGTCCCTTTAATGCCCTATACGTAAATAAGTCGACGGCCCGGATAATGTCCTATACTGTCGACGGTCCCTTTAACGTTATTTACGTAAATAAGTTAACGGTTTGTTTAATGTCCTATACCGGTCCCTTTAATTCCCAATACGTAAATAAGTAGACGGTCCGTTTAACGTCCATTATCCTCGCCGGTCCCTTTAATGCCCAGTTCATAAAAACGTCCAAATTTCTTTTAACGTTCACTACACGTCAGCAAAACTTAGGATTATATTTAACTCTACCGATTTATACATCTTATATAACAGTTGTTTGAATAAATATTTATCCTTTTTAATTGCTTGAGTTCTACTTTTTTACCATTAACGTTCTAGATTAGTCAGATGCAACGACCTTTGACTCTAATCAGTCTATCTTTATTTATTTACTTTAATTGTCTGTCCGTTTGTATCCAATAAACGTCAAAACAGCTAACCTAACCGATCGGGCCCCAAATTTTTAAGGGAATTCACATGAAGGTTTCTTTTCTGTATAATCAAAATGACAAATGTTTGTTTCCAAAATATCTGAATTTTGTAAAATTTTGAAAATCCACAAAAAAAATATTAAAGGGGATGGTGGAGTTGGCACATTTGATGTAGGGGGGGGGGGGCCTTGCCTTCATTTTTGGTTCAAATCTTCCAATTTTTTGG